CCTCATATAAATCACACTCTGAACTACCGTACACATAATACCTCATATAAATCACACTCTGAACTACCGTACACATAATACCTCATATAAATCACACTCTGAACTACCGTACACATAATACCTCATATAAATCACACTCTGAACTACCGTACACATAATACCTCATATAAATCACACTCTGAACTACCGTACACATAATACCTCATATAAATCACACTCTGAACTACCGTACACATAATACCTCATATAAATCACACTCTGAACTACCGTACACATAATACCTCATATAAATCACACTCTGAACTACTGTACACATAATACCTCATATAAATCACACCCTGAACTACCAAACACATAATACCTCATATAAATCACACTCTGAACTACCGTACACATAATACCTCATATAAATCACAGTCTGAACTGCCGTACACATTATACCTCACATAAATCACAGTCTCACAAACTTACTTATTCATGTCTAAATGCAACCCTTCTTTTTGGATTTTTTTCCCGTTAAAAGTTCCTTACACAAATCATTTGTTGGTAGCAGACAAGGCCAACACATTCCAGGAGTAAACTTAGTACCTGATATACGAGGGACACCAGACGTGTACAAATATAGGTCAAGTCAACCCGTGAATTCTAGCTCATTGTTAATTAATAGGTTGTATTTGCAATTTAAATTCACATATGCTTTCTTCAAATTCATTAAAACATGACCCTAATCAGTAGGATAAGGTAGATCAGTGTCATTTTTTATTGCCATCATATGATGCTGTAATGTTGTACAATAGTTTCATATCCCAGGTCAATTATATGCTTAGTTTTACTGTTATTACAGAAAACAATATGATATTTTAAATACTTGTACGGGAAATGGACCACTGGGAGGGGTGTATGTAGATGGGAGGGGGTTATACTCCCAGATCATGGACCACAGGGAGAGGTGTATGTAGATTGGAGGGGGTTACACTCCTGGATCATGGACCACAGGGAGAGGTGTATGTAGATGGGAGGGGGTTACACTCTCAGATCATACTTCAGAAAAGCACTGGATTGTAACACTTGGGTGACTCATGAACATGGTACAACTTCCACGCTCTATCACTTATTTTTCCTTCAATTCATCACTTTGATGGTTTTTCCAGTTACACATATATCATACTTTTCTTAGAATAGACTATCATACTTTTACTTAAAACAGAGATTGTCCCATCTTTACTCAGAATGAGATTGTCATACTCTAACTTATAATAGAGTTTGTCACACCTTTACTTACAAAATATTGTCATATTTTTACTTAGAATAGATTGTCACATTTTTACTTAGTATAAATTGTCACATTTTTACTTAGTATAGATTGTCACACCTTTACTAAGAATGGTTGTCACACCTTTACTTAGTATAGATTGTCAAACCTTTAATTAAAGTAGATTGTCACACCTTTACTTAGTATAGCTTGTCATACCTTTACTTAGTATAGATTGTCACACCTTTACTTAGTATAGATTGTCACACCTTTAATTAAAGTAGATTGTCACACCTTTACTTAGTATAGATTGCCACACCTTTACTTAGTATAGATTGTCACACCTTTACTTAGAATAGATTGTCATACCTTTACTTGGAGTAGATTGTCATACCTTTACTTAGTATAGATTGTCATACCTTTACATAGTATGGATTGTCATATTTTTACTTAGAATAGATTGTCACACCTTTACTTAGTATAGATTGTCATACCTTTACTTAGTATAGACTGTCACACCTTTACTTACAAAATATTGTCACACCTTTACTTACAAAATATTGTCACACCTTTACTTTACAGAGATTATCATACTTCACACTCAGAACAGAGATTATTGTACCTTTGTTGAATTGAAATTTCACACCTTTACACAGAGTTCAGACTGTCACCTGCATAATAACATTGCTGTGTTTTCAACAAATGCTATACAAAACACAGTGTTATGGGGATGACATTCTGTGAATTATTCATTCTGTTTTGCCTTTTATGAACATAGTAGTGAATTATTTATGTTGTCCCCATACCTGGTTGATAGCAACCAATGCACATGAATTATCTACAGTGCATGTGGGTGGTGTATCACAAACATACCTGTAACCTGTATGTATGACCTAACACACAGGTGTGGGATGTGTATCACAAACATACCTGTAACCTGTATGTATGACCTAACACACAGGTGTGGGATGTGTATCACAAACATACCTGTAACCTGTATGTATGACCTAACACACAGGTGTGGGATGTGTATCACAAACATACCTGTAACCTGTATGTATGACCTAACACACAGGTGTGGGATGTGTATCACAAACATACCTGTAACCTGTATGTATGACCTAACACACAGGTGTGGGATGTGTATCACAAACATACCTGTAACCTGTATGTATGACCTAACACACAGGTGTGGGATGTGTATCACAAACATACCTGTAACCTGTATGTATGACCTAACACACAGGTGTGGGATGTGTATCACAAACATACCTGTAACCTGTATGTATGACCTAACACACAGGTGTGGGATGTGTATCACAAACATACCTGTAACCTGTATGTATGACCTAACACACAGGTGTGGGATGTGTATCACAAACATACCTGTAACCTGTATGTATGACCTAACACACAGGTGTGGGATGTGTATCACAAACATACCTGTAACCTGTATGTATGACCTAACACACAGGTGTGGGATGTGTATCACAAACATACCTGTAACCTGTATGTATGACCTAACACACAGGTGTGGGATGTGTATCACAAACATACCTGTAACCTGTATGTATGACCTAACACACAGGTGTGGGATGTGTATCACAAACATACCTGTAACCTGTATGTATGACCTAACACACAGGTGTGGGATGTGTATCACAAACATACCTGTAACCTGTATGTATGACCTAACACACACGTGTGGGATGTGTATCACAAACATACCTGTAACCTGTATGTATGACCTAACACACACGTGTGGGATGTGTATCACAAACATACCTGTAACCTGTATGTATGACCTAACACACACGTGTGGGATGTGTATCACAAACATACCTGTAACCTGTATGTATGACCTAACACACACGTGTGGGATGTGTATCACAAACATACCTGTAACCTGTATGTATGACCTAACACACACGTGTGGGATGTGTATCACAAACATACCTGTAACCTGTATGTATGACCTAACACACACGTGTGGGATGTGTATCACAAACATACCTGTAACCTGTATGTATGACCTAACACACACGTGTGGGATGTGTATCACAAACATACCTGTAACCTGTATGTATGACCTAACACACACGTGTGGGATGTGTATCACAAACATACCTGTAACCTGTATGTATGACCTAACACACACGTGTGGGATGTGTATCACAAACATACCTGTAACCTGTATGTATGACCTAACACACACGTGTGGGATGTGTATCACAAACATACCTGTAACCTGTATGTATGACCTAACACACACGTGTGGGATGTGTATCACAAACATACCTGTAACCTGTATGTATGACCTAACACACACGTGTGGGATGTGTATCACAAACATACCTGTAACCTGTATGTATGACCTAACACACACGTGTGGGATGTGTATCACAAACATACCTGTAACCTGTATGTATGACCTAACACACAGGTGTGGGATGTGTATCACAAACATACCTGTAACAAACATACCTGTAACCTGTATGTATGACCTAACACACATGTTGGATGTGTATCACAAACATACCTGTAACCTGTATGTATGACCTAACACACAAGTGTGTGACCTAACCATCTCCAACCGAACACACAGTATGTGACCTAACCTTCACCATGGGCAGTGACAGATTGGCTCAAACCACACATAATCAACCCACAGAAAACTATGAACAACTGCTGCTTCAAACGCAGAGACGTATTTGGAGAGGGAGCCACAAAGTTGTCAAGATATATGATAACCATCCTACATCAGTAACCTTCTGTATCCAGCAGGTCTAACAGTGCCCCGGGGCAGGTTTCACACCACAGTTATGTCAACTGCACACCTCACAATTAGATATCACGCCATAGTAATCTAATACAGGAGGACAACATAGGTCACAATTAATTCACTAATACTTATAAATTATTATATTGTATATCACAATTAATTCACCAATACTTATAAATTATTATATTGTATATTGTATATCACAATTAATTCACTAATACTTATAAATTATTATATCGTATATTGTATGTCACAATTTATTCACTAATACTTATAAATCATTATATAATGTGCTTGATTGTTAAACAACTTAATTTTCTGTTGAAAGTCAGTGGGACACATGTGTCCTGTTAAAGTATATC